CAAATTTGTTGCAAATCTTTGAGTCCCATTCCATCTGGAAATAGTTAAAGTATCTGCTACTGTCTTAATTACGTCAAAGCAAAAAACGAGTGAGCCCGATCTATAGATTTTGCAGTGAAACAATTATAAACAAAGCACAATTATAAAACGGCATTTTCTGAATCCACCCTGTTTAGAAGATAGGAAGTAATTTTTTTTTTAGTTAGATGAATACTTTGGGTCTTTTCTAATTTTGGAGTTCTAGTAATTTTTTGATTTGCAAGATCTTCTCCAATTTGAGTAAAAAGTCCTCTCACATTTAAATTTACTATAATAAAGTTTTAAAATATTCAAAAGTTGGGACTGAGAAAGTTTTTAGTATGTTATCATCAGGACCAGGCGTGGTAATTTTACTGCAGTCTTTATCCCAACTTGTGTAATAATAGAATTATACCCATCAATCTGCTGTAATGGATATTTTAATGATTTTTTTTTTCAATTTTAGATTTATACTGTTCGAAGGATGGGTATTAATTTTAAATATTTGAAAAATTCTTCTTTATATTTATTTTGTTAACACGCTGAATCCAGAAATTTCTTTTGATCTGTCATGGTACTTTTCAAGCTACAGCTCACGCTTTTCTTAAAATCTAATGAGTTTTCAGTAGTTGGATAACGACTAAGTTTCTCCATGCTTTACTTTTGAGGGTTTTAATGTGCTTGTTTACATTCATCGCTCCACCATTGTTTACGAAATTTTTGCTACATTAGCTGCTGAAGTTATGTTGGTTGCAGCTTTATAATTAATACTGCTGGCAATATTTATTCATCAAATAAAACAGAATTGAAAAATAGATAAAACGGTTAACGAAAGCAAAAGGATATTGCATTTGATATTGATACCCTTGCAACAAGTGGAAAATGATCTCTGAGATAGAGGCTTACTTCAATAGATTGATGGCAATGGAGTGATGCTTAAAACTGCACCTAAGACTAGATTAAAATTTTTGTAGCTTGGTTAAAATTAATACAATAACGTTTAAACTGGTCCACTCTGAAAAAATTAGAGCTAAATAGAATTATAAAACCCAGTATCTTTAAGATAAATCATTAAGTTTGGATAAGGCGTTATTTAAATTCCAAGGATTAAGTCTGATACTCTCTATTAAATTTTAAGCACTGAGTTAAAAAATGCTTCACTATAAGAGGCGCCCAACGAAAATGGCATTGCAGGGATGCATCGCTTAGAATTAAGTATTTGTGTGTTAAGCGGAGATGTTGAATAAATTTTTTGTTGATGGAGACTGGTGTCTTACTTTGTGAATAGTTTCATGGCAGAAATATAGTACAAATATATAGTTTAATTTCGTACAATTTGCTGTTTAGTTAAGCATTCCAGATAATCTGCTAAGCTGGTTAAAAAAGTGTCACCAAGTTTTGAATGCCAAGTAAACAGAGGAGTTTACTTCTAAGATTGTGGATCGATTCGGTTGTTGAGTTAACTGTTTTACTCGTTATACCCTCAAGTCCTACCAAATATTATTCCATAACCACTGTTAATGAGTTCGTTGTATAAGCTAAAAAATAGAGGAAAGTTAACATCAATAGCACCAACGAAAATTTTTCAACAGGAAAAATAAGCAATTTTTTAAAATTTAGTTTAAAAACTGGGGAGCCAGACTAACAGAACATTTTTCTGAAAATATCGAAATGCTAGACTGTAGTTTTTCTAAATTCACTTCCTCATTGAACACAACCACACATTTATAAAATTAGAACCATCCGTATGCCGTATGTAAAAGTCGTTAAAATGACATAATTTAGTCTAAAAATAATTGTTGTAAATCATTGGAGATGTTTTACCTTTAGTCAATCTCACCGATGTCGTTTAACACAGGAATCTGTTGGCTGACTATAGTTTATACACGTTTTTAAATCCGAAAATATGAATCCGTTTAGTTTTGCTCATTTTTGTACTTTTTTTTGTTGTTGTAACTGGCTTTCAAGAGTTCGCATATAAGATGCTTAGTAAGTTAATTTCAAATCAGAGAAGATTTCCCGTGAACGATTTCTGGCTAAATAGATAAAAATTAATTAATTGTAATTAAAGCAGAGAAATGCTTATTAGACTCCCGTGTGGTTTACATTCATCTTGGATAAAATTATCTAAGGAAACTACATGAAGCTTAAGTTCAAAGGTCCAGCCAGTTAAAAAGTAATTGATGAAATAAAGCATTCCCCATGATATTGTGCATCATAAGGATTTTTAAGTTTCATGGCACCACTTTTGGTTAGAAACCTTTTCAAAATAAAAAATGCAACAATACTGTTTACATAAAAAAAAAAGCCTAATTTGTTTCTAAAAAAAAATCCTGTCTATTGTGGCATGGAACTTGTTAAAATCTCTTTATTCGATAAAATTTGACCACTCGTAAGTACATAAGCTATCCCCTGGTCTCTATTACTCGTGAATGTTATGTAATGAACTGGAAGGAAAATCCCGTTCAGCTCACATTCTGTCAATTTTAAAACTATCAAAAGTTGAGCTTTTGGAAGGTGCATGAATATACCAGGGCTCGAAATTAACGGTGGTCCGTGACCACTAAAATCGGAGTCGGACCAGCATCAAATAATAAACAGTGGTCCGCCAGACCATCATCCGCCGCAGCCGATCTCCGTTAAAAAAATAAAAAAAAAAGCTAGCGTGCGAGATCTCCGTAAAAAAAAATTATTATTTTGTTTCCGCTTATTTGTTGACTTATTTTTAAACTTGTTTTTATAAACCAAACAAGCTCTGAACAATTTTTATATAAAATTATAATTGAGAATATATTTTATAAAATAAAAGCCAAAAGGAATAATAAATGCTATGGTTGTAAGACTAATTATAAATAACTAAAGATTTAAACAAATTACCAATTTTTTTTTAATATTACTAAATGCTTTGTTTAAATCATATTGATAATTCGTGCTAATTTCAGATGTATTTCTCCTTTATTTTTTATTTTTATATTTTGTGTCCTAAAAGAATCATATTGTTTATTTTTGTTATATTATGATTATGTATAGTTTAATAATTTTCAAAATTGAGTAAAAATTATAGTTCTTGATTGCTAAAGTATTCTTTTCTAATTAATCTTAGTAAGTAGTATAATTAATCTTATTTCCTTCTTAAATTCTAAGTATATTTATGCAACTTGTGTATTTGAGTTACTTAAAACTATTTTAGATCTTATTTACAATTTTTTAAAAAAAAATTTTTATACAAAATTAATATTAATCAAAAAAATGCGATTTAAATCAAAAATTTATGATTTTTAAAAAAAAAAATCATGATTTTTTCAATCAAAAATTTTAATATTTTTTTTATTTACAGCTAATAGGAACGCGTAGACGGACCAGTAAAGTCTTGTGTGGACTAGTAAAATGTTTTAGTTACTGGTCCTATGGACCAGTAATTTTCTTATTTTAATTTCTACCCCTGTATACTATTTCCGTGTATTATCTGGTGATGTTAGTTTGCAGTGCTTAATAGTGGTTTTCATTTCAGTTAGGCTGATAAGAAAATTTATATTCAGCCACATGGCTGTAACGGACAATTCAGAACTATTTTTCAGTTTAATACTTGCAATTGAAAGATTGGGAAAAATGTGACAAACTTTCCCTATATGAAATTTAGTTATTATATTCCTGGCAGAGAGCATGCAATAACTTCCAAATATAATTCAATCTTTTTACAGATTTATTTGGAAGGAGCAATGATGAAAGTTATATACCAACGTGTTGAAACCCCCCCCCCCTTTTTTTTTAAATTGTCGGCATATTTTTCTAGACATACGTTTTAGCACATTTTTCTTTAAAGAAATTATAATTTTTAAACGATAAAGACCTACGAAAAAATTTTTTCTTTGAGGCTTTAGGGCTAAAATGCATTCATCTGTTCACAGAACTTGGTATTTCAGCCACTTTAAATAAATTTTCTGTTATATGAGCCGTAGCTTATTTAACCGTCCCAGATTCATCTAACTGTTTATCTAATACAATTGAGATAGTCTGCAAAACGGCTATTATATTGTTCAGGAAAGCATATCATTTGGTTATGGAACTGACAAAGTGATAAATAAAAATTGACCATTAGGATATAAATAGTTTAAAAAGTTGACAAATTGGATATATATATACATGTATATACACCGCTAAATTCATCACCATAAAAATTTGTTTTCATAAATTAGTATAAATACCAAACTTAGTGATTTTTCAATAAAACATTACTAATTATAGAAAATATAAATCCTTCATTTATTCATATCAAACATTTTGAAATCCACAGAAAATGGGACAGACAAAAATCAGGATGAAAAAGGAAATTAACGAAAAACAAAGACAAAATATTTTTTCAGGAAGAAAGTCAGCTATATCAGAATAACTGCAAACTTCAATACCTTCAAGAACAGCTCTTTAAAGCCCGCGTAATGCTTCTTCTCTTGAAACCAGTAATGAATATGTTATTTTCATAACGAAATAAACTTTTAAAGCTATTAGCATTATATGCAAGAGAAACTAAATAAAATTTTAAAGAAAAGCTATAATTCTTTTAATTGCAAATCATTCCAAATTAAAGCTTAGTATATTTTTAATGTTTTGATCAACATGCCCATAGAATAAATTTTTAAATAAAAGGTTGATATCTTAAATAAAATGTTTAAATGAATTGATTTTTAAACAAGGTATGTAAGTATGAGTACTGCTGTAAAACTGATTCATTTATATAATGTAGGGGAAGTCCCGGTTTATTTGTATTTATACCAATTCACATAAATAATGAAAGACTAGAAATTACCTAACTCTAAATATTTATTGAAAAGGACAAAACACATAAAAATAAAACAAAAAAAATACAAGAATTTGGAAGAGGGGGTTTTGGGCTCGAATTAAACATCCGTACTTAACGGCGGTTCCTGGCAGACTGTCTTAGTTCACTGCCAGAGGCGCAGTAGTGGGGGAAAGAGGAAAGCTTGTCACACTCCCCCTCTGGTTCCGATTAAACGTCTCGTTGAGGGAACAGCACTTTTTGGTTTTTGGCTTCTTCTGAGGGTCATCAAGGTTTTTGGGTCAGGATCAAGAGTGTTTGGTCTGCCTCGTTTACGTAAAGGTGCCACCGGCACTGCATTTTCATTAGAACATTTTTTCAATGCAGATACATGATACTGTCCTAACGGTTCATTTGGCTTATCAACGTGGGCCACTTCATACGATGTTGGGGACCTTTGGGTGAGGATGATGTACGGTCCATCTCTCTTTGGCATGAACTTGGCCGACTTTGATTTTGCAGCATTGCTCNCAAATCGTTGGCTGTATATTGGTGTCTGCAGAAGTCCACAAGGTTTTTGATTACTGGCTTTGTATCTGGCGCATTCAACACAGCTCTTAACATAGTCAGCTATGAAGGATCTCATACCAGTCCAATAATATCGTTGATTTATTCTATTTAATGTTCCCTCTACTCCGTAATGTCCAGCACTTGGAGCGTCATGGTGTAATTTTAAAATTTGCGCTCTTTCATGCAAGGGTACTACCAACTGTGCTTCTTCAGCATCTGAAGCAGGAGAATAACGGAATAATACACCTTGATTCATTATATATCCTCTTTGTGTCCAATTGGAACAATCTACTCCTTTTTCTGGATCTTCAAAACATGTAATTATTTTCTTAAGCTTTCTTAAGCTAATCTTTCATTTGCTCCTCTCTTATTTCGTTAGGTGTTTTCTTAGGGAAGTCTACGGAAATAGTGGAAGCTTCGCAGAATACTTCATCACTTTGACATATGGGTCTTGAAAGCATGTCTGCCACATAGTTCAATTTCCCAGGGAGATATTCTATCTTAAGATTGAACTCTTGCAGC